TAATCCAAGTAACTGCTCCATGTAAAATGAAGTCAAGAAAATGGAATCACAAATATTTTTCATTTCTCATGTCTATATCTTCCACCACATGCTTATATACAGAATATGATTCGACATATCTCAGTATTTTTTTCTGGGTTGTTCAGCGAAGATGGTTCGTGAGCACTGCCACAGGCACCAGACAAAATCACCTCTTCTTTTGCTCCATAAACTCTCTATTTTTTCCATCAGCAAAATTCATTTCGTCTCACTNCTTTTGCTCCATATACTCACTATTTTTTCCATCAGCAAAATTCATTTCGTCTCTCTCATCTGTTCTTTGTATTGAGAAATTATTGGAGCCGCCTTCTGATCTTTTATAACTGACATTTCTGGGCTTCAAACTGCTAATCTATTCACAGTAATTATTTAGACATCAAATATAATATTTAACTGTGTTTTTTAAATAATATAGAGTGGAATTCATCTGATCATTTACCTTAGGGCTGTTGACTGGAGAACTAGCCGTATCCTCCAAATCATCACTTGAAAATATCTTACTATTTGTGTTCTTGAATTTCAATCTCCTAGGAAATTGAGAGCCATCGCGGATAACTTGATCATTATTATTAGGGCCATTCCATGCAGCATCAGAAACCAAAGAAGGACTGCTAAAACTGTCCAAGGAATATGAGTTTTGGCTGAATGCAAAATCCTCCAAATAAGCTGTCCAACCACTCTCTTCAGTTCCTCTTAAAGAAACTCGCTTGCTTACAGATGAATTCTCGGGGTCTTCCATACATACAAGGAGAAATAATTGGAAGAGAATAGATCAGAAGATGAATTTCACAAAGTCTTGAAGATGGATTATAAGAAGGGGAAGGATTGGAATGTGAAGAAAAAGGATGCCCGCAAAGTGGAACCTTTGGGTGGGGACAGAGGTAGTTAGAGGGAACATATCAAAAGTCTTAAGTAACATGGAATAAATCTGATAGAAAAATGAAATGAAGCAATAAAATAAAAGAGATAAAAGGGAGAAAATATGCAAGAATAGGATTTTCATTTGCAGTCCCTATGGATTAATGCATCTGAAAAAAGGAGGATAATGGTATAATCTAGTTCAATTAGGGGTGTAAACTAGAGAAATTAAGCCCATGTTTGACAACATTATTTATGTAAAAAAGATTTTTGAATAATGATTTTTTGGAGAATTTGTGGTTAAAAAATATGAAAAGGTTTTGAATTTACGTGCAGAATATTTTATTGTGTGAATGTGTGGTTGAAAATAGGCATATATAAAAACGAGTTTTAAAATAATGATTGTCAAATAGGGGCTAAATCGATAATATAACATTTAACTTATTCTTGACTATTGATCATTTGACATATCTATTCACAAGCAACATTTCAAGCAAGTTGTTGTTTTCTAGCATTTTAAAGGGAGATTAGCATTATTGTAAAGCAATAACATTATAATTAAAACGTTTTTAATTGGATTATTTAATTTAAGACTGTTTAGGTAGGAACCACACCACTTACTTGTTAGCCGAATTCCTACCCTCAAATAATTAAATATATTGGTTAATTACACAGGAGGTTACTGATTTTTCCCCTAATTTCAATCAAGTCACCAAAATTCAATTTGAAGCAATCAATCAAACAGCCGAATTTTAATTTAAAAGCAATAAGATCACTCTATTTGGATTTTTTTAAATTTGTCTATCGAATTTGTGACATATCCGTCAAAACTAACATGCCAATCGTAGTCAGCAAATTTATAAGATTGAATGTCATTAAACTTTCACCTTAGTTGCAACCAAGTAGTATTCGTTTGAACAAGAAACTATCATACTACTACATAGGGTTAATTCTCTAAACGGTCATTGAACTTTTCTCAAAGTTCTCAGGATGTCCTGAACTTAACAACTGCCCCCGTTAATCACTTAAACTTTGCAAACTGGTATCACATTCATCACTGCGTAAACGAAGCTTGCAAAATTGGAAGGATTTGATGACATTGAGCATGAGTCTGCATGTATGTGACCGTTTTCTCTTTACAAATGGCTAATGCATATTTGGGTTTTTTTTAATGACTATTGAATGCGTGTTTTTATCCAAATGTATAGTTTTTCAGAATCTGAATTTCACAAACTTTATGATCCATGTTATTATAGTTTTCTACTAATTATAGCATGATTTATGTAAAAATTTGATTTATAGTTTTTAACTACGTGACATGTAAGTCATACCGTTAAATATGTCATCAAATTCTTCCAATTTTGCAAGCGTCATTTACGCAGTGATAGATGGAGTACCGATTTTTAAAGTCAAGTGATTAATTGGGGTAGTTTTTAAATTCAGCGACTTTGTGGGAACTTTAAGAAGAGTTCAGTGAACATTTAGGGAATTAACCTCTACTACGTATCAAAATTCAATGACATATGTCGATCAATGGCCGAGCTAGTAATTTTTCATTTGGGAGCTAGTTTCCTTGCAATGCATACTTCGGATTAAAAATCGTTATATGATGAGTTCAACATAATGAGCCAAAGATAGCGATTAGATATTGATTTAATAATTCAAATTTATCTTTTAATACTCATTTTAACGTAGCTTTTGACTTGATTTATTTTCAAAATATGTTCTTGGCTCGTTGGATTATATTCTTAATACCGTTTCAAAGTATGCATGAAAAACTTAGCAATGCATCTGTCGAATTGAAAAACCATTCAACAGAGAGTTTTAAAAAAAGCTAAAGAGGGGTGCTAGAAATGGATTTAACAACATGATTTTTAGCATTTGGGATCACCATTTTCAATTTGTTTTTGGTCTATGTTCTTCTTATGTCGGGTATGGTTCTTGGTATTTAGGTTTGAAAGTATTTATAGCAAACTTTACAATGCATATTTTGAACTGAGAAACTGTCAAACCATAAGNCTATGTTCTTCTTATGTCGGGTTTGATTCTTGGTAATTAGGTTTGAAAGTATTTATAGCAAACTTTACAATGCATATTTGAACTCAAAAACTGTCAAACCATAAGTTAAAACTAACAAGCTAGAGTTAACACTACTAGAATTGGATTTAATTTAATTTAATTTTCATTTTTAGATGTCACTTTAATTAAAATTTTAGTTGACGTTAATTTGATTCATTTTGCTTTTCAAATCTCCCAATTTCTTAAATATCATCTGTCACAATGCAAATTGTCAAAATACAAACCGCGATGCATTTTCTTACATCCTGTGCCACAATCCTTAATTTAAATTGATGAGGAAAGAATGACGAGGAGAAATGGTAACTTGAATAGTAAAGAGTGTTTTGAATTAGATCAACCACGCTTAGGGTTTGAAGATTTTTGCGAGGAATATGAAATTACATTGGGATATTTATTGCGTCCAATTTTTATGGGAGGAATTTAGGGTCCGTTTGATTGCAAGGGTGGAAAATGGATGGAAATAAAATGAATTATAGGGAAAGTAATTGTCTAGAAATTGTTTTGCAGGGAATTGTTAATTTAGTGTGTGTGATTGATATAATTTTCCACNAGGAAAAGCTAGAAAGTGTCACCGTATGAGAGAAAGTGGCAATTCCAATTGCCAAGAAAAAACATGCTATCAAGCACCAAAAAATTGGTTTCATTTTCCATGGAAAATCAACCCTATCAAACACACCCTTAGTAGATATTATTTGGAAGAAGATGGAATAATGATTGGAAAGTTGGTTGCATAATACAGGAAAAATACAAAGTGATAGTATTTCCAATTTTTCCAACAATGCCAACATTTATCAATTTGCAAATATGAGGAGTGTAGCGGTTATGATATTTGCTATTCAAAAATAATAAGTGTTAGGTTTTGATATCCAATAAATTCGGGAGATAATTTTAAAGTGATGTCATAAATTTATAGTGACACCTTTGTGATTGTTTGACTCTGAAACAACTTGGGATGAAGCAACTTAATTAAGTTAATATTGCTTGTGGTCCAACACTTTGTGGATGGCCAAGTTAAAGTTGGATTTAGTGGTTGGAGGTGACGTTGAATTGTTAGCCCATTCGTTTTGTTATCATGTTGGCCCATTTAAGTGGATGTCTTGGTCCAACTTACCATATAACGTAAAGTGGAAATTGCACGGGATACCATAATTAAGATATTAACCCCAATATTACATTTTCACATTTTATATACCAAAAATATTGACATTTTATAAGTAAAAATGAAAAGAAAAGTCCATGTATCCTTCCCATGATTTACGCTCATACAATAAGACCACCACATCTTTTCGAAGACTTTCCTTTATCAAAGTCACTTATTTCAAGCCTTAACTTCTTCCGTTTTCCATTGATAACCTGCTAGAAATCCTAATCCCTAAAGCCATGAAAAAAAAAATATGTAGCCTCTTAAATTCTTCCGTTTCCCATTGTTATCCGGCTAGAAATCCTAATTCCTAAAGCCAAGAAAAAATATGGAGTCTCAGCTTACGGTGGAATTGAACGATGAAAAGAAATATGGAGTTCAACTTTTTCTTCAACCGTAGAATTCCATAATCGATGATAATTGGTTTTCCCAATTCTTTTAATATAGGGGATTTCGTGTTTTTATCAATGTATAAATAACCAACAATTTAAAGCACTTGTCACTTGTTCATACTAATAATGAATCCAACATTTCCTATACGACAACACAACCAAATAAGGAACAAAAAATAATTACATCGGATGCAATGAAATTGCGACTAAAATACGATGCATGTTCTTATAAAATTGATAGAATATTATCGATAATGTTGACAACCAAGTAACCTACTGGCTTGTTCTCTTGTTTGCGTGTCCTGGAACACGGAAATTTGTGAATTACTTCTTCTGCGAGACAAACTTTCCAATATGATGCTTTGATCTGCCGTGTGAGGCGTTTCTATGCCAAGATTTTGTTTATTTGTATAATGTAGCAATTGGTATCCAAGGCATCATGTTTATTGAACCGAGTTTGAGATTCTACTGGTGGGAATGGGATGCTTGTCATGACTGGGAATGTTTAGATATTCGGCTTCTTCTCGAGATTACATCATTTGTTGTTATTATTCCTATAATAATTTGTGTTTATTTCAACCATTGCGTCTCTGTGTTGACTAAGGAGGGGTCTTTAAAGAAATAAGTCCAGAATTTGATTCAGAAACCTAGTATGGAGGAACTCGTCAACAATTCTCTGATTATCAAGAAATGCTTTTTGCTGAATAAGTTGACTAGTGAGGGGAGGTGAATTCCATTATTTGAGGTTTTGCCCCACATCAGGAAATACTAATGTATTTCTTGGCACATGAAATTACACAATTCTTCAAGCTCTATACATTGTAAAATTTCAAAACTTTCATAACCCACTTAGGAGCTACTTGACATTTCCTGTCTTTGAGTTTAGCTTGTCTACTGCATAACCCAACAAATAGCACAGTCCAACTTTGTCTTAGGGCCTGTTTGATATGGAACATTTTCTATGGTAGTAGTAACTTGTTTTCCATTTTCCAAGTTTTGGCTTTTTGATTGCAAAATTTTCCCTAGAATTGTTTTTCTTGCTTTCCACTCACACGTGCACAATTTCCTTTTTTTTTTTTCTTTGTGGAATTCATTTTCCCATGGTTTGTGTGGAAAATGGTTTTCCAACCTTTTTTTTATTGCAATTGGAAAAATTTCTTGATACAATGGTAAAAAAATTTATCACTTTTATTGGCAATTTCCATGCAAAACAAAGCCAAACGAATGATATTTGGTACGATAATTTTTTTTTATTTTTTGGCAAATGAA